TGTGCGAGTTGGCAGAGGTGGTAGGCGGACTCAAAATTGGTGCCCCACACGTGGTGGAAGTCGGATAGGGAGTACTCCACTGTGGGCTTGCGAATGTTAGTGCCCACGTTGTTGATCTGCGGGTGTTAGGAAGGATGCCAGGATGCAGTAGGGAATGAGAACGGGGATAGTAAGGGTTGGCAGGGGTGGTAGGCGGATTCAAAGTTGGTGCCCCACACGTGGTGGAAGTCTGAAAGGGAATAGTCGACTGTGGGCTTCTGACTGTTAGTCCCCACGTTGTTGACCTGCACAGGGAGGAGGAGGGAAGGGGGAAGGATGGGAATGGTCATGGGAATAAGAGCGAGTTGGAAAAGGTGGTAGGCGGATTCAAAGTTGGTGCACCACACGTGGTGAAAGTCAGCTAGAGAGTAGTCAATCAAAGAGGAGGAGGGATCTTGCTAGTTCTGAGCTTGCAACAGAAGAACATGTGCCCGCATACTCATAGCTCTTCATCCCGTAAACTCTCATTCACAAGTAATCTCCTCTTTTGACGTTGGTGAGAAGAGGGAAGGCATAAACGCCACCTTTTGGTGAGAGGTGGGTTGGAGCAGAAGCAGCATCAACAACGCCTCTGATGCTCCCGCGCAGCCCTCTCTGCCCCGAATGCGCATTCTGCATCGGGAGACAATAGGCATCCCACCTGGCGCACGGATGCCTTCCCAGCCCCAATCATTGCCCGAGAGGGTGCCGCTCCAACAGGCAACTGTGGGGGCATCCCCTTGCTGCACTGTAGCTTCGCTACTGTAGCTTCGCTACTGTAGCTGCCATCACACGACCACCCCGTCCCACCTTCCGCCTAATACAGGGGTTTGGGAAAATATCCCACCGCCAACTGATCAGGTGCACTGACTGATAAACCGCCCGCAAACAACCGCCGGCCTACGTACCAGGTGGTTCAGTTTCCCGCCAAAAGCCTCTGACACCTTCGTTATAAGCACCTCCCGCTGCTCCGGCTCCTTGACATCGCACGCCCACCCCGTCGCCGCCCACCCCTGCGACTGTAGCTCCGCCACTGTAGCTGCCACGTCAGCCTCGCCACGTGAGCATACAAACACGTGCGCGCCTAAAGATGCTAGCTCGTTTGCAATAGCACGACTGATGAAGAGGGGAGGCACGCGGAAGGAAGGGGGGGGGGGAGGACAGGGGGATGGGAGGGGGGGGAGGGAGAGGACAGGGGGATGGGAGGGGGGGGGAGGGAGAGGACAGGGGGATGGGAGGGGGAGCGGGAGGGTAAGGAGGGTGGATTGTGTGGGTTTGGGTCAGACTCGAGAGTCAGCCTTGCCACGTGGGCACACAAACACGTGCGCGCCCAGAGATACGAGTCCCCGTGAGATAACGGGACTGATGGGGGAAAGGGAGGCGGAATGTGGGGAAGGGGGGGGGGGGGGGGGAGAGGGTGGAGAAAGGAGGGGGGAAGGGAGAGGGGGGAAAGGTGGGAAGGAGATGAATGGGACGGTGGCAAGAATGAACAGGGTACGCTTTTAAGCCAGAATCAAACCCAAAGGATCCAGTGGAAGGGACGGATTCCGTCACGAGGGTGTGAAGCGGGCGAAATTCTTCACGAGGGAGTGAATTGATCGGACGGATTCCGTCATGAGAGTGCGAAATGGACGGATTCCGTCACGAGGGTGTCAAGATGACAGAAAGAATGAAACGAGAGCCTAGATATCATCGTGTCGTGTGGTTACCCGATGCCTTTGGTCGCGCCCGTTACAAGAGCCGTCTGGCCGTCAAGTCTCCATCGAGCCGCCGCCATAATGGATTCAGGCGAGAATTGACGAATTGTAAACGCACGTGAAGATTAGGCACTTCTGTAACGGCTGACGCACTGGGAAGCAGCAGCCGTCACTGCTGCATTCAGGATTGGAACGACCCACTGCTAATTTATCTTCTCTTGCAAGCGAGATTCGTGTCGGTAAGCCCGACTGCTCGTTGTCAAATAACTTCTATGTAGGGAGTTTCAGGAAGGCTCAATTTGGTAGGGTTGTGAACGCTTTCACGTGTTTCAGAACCCTAAGGGGGTTTCCAGCTCGTTCATTTACTGTTCTTAAAGCCCTTCGGTTACCACATATTGCGTTGTAACACTGAGTTTTACAAAAATGCCAGACACGATCAGCTCCCGTTCACGATACGGCACACCCCCTGTACTTACCTCGAATCGTGTGACGCACGTTAAAGGAATCAGCGTGCGCATCGAACAATGGTACAGAACCGCGTCCTGCCCACTACAGTGAGTGCCCATCGTATCGCGCGCTTGATTTCGCATGTGTCGCCTGACACTCGCCAAAACCTATAGTGGAAGTGTTGGCCTGGCGAAAATTCTTACGCTTTGGTTGACGAGGGATCTGGTTACCTTGGTTGCCACACGGCCCCTGCACTGTTGAAGTCTGTTTGGGGGGATGGTGTCCGCGCGCCAGAATGACAGAAAGGGTGGACTCGAGCAAGTCGCGTTCGTTTATAGGTACAGTTTTCAGTTTTGAACCCCGGATCGTGAGGGACACAAGATTTCCCGAAATGAACGAGCTGGACACGCCCTAAACCCGTCCTCTGCAATCCCAGGTTTGAGGGGGTGTCCAGCGCGTTCATTTACCGTTCATAAGTCCTATCAGTTACCACATTTGGAGTTGTAGCACTGCATTTTACTGAAAGGGTGGACATGACCAACAATTGTACATGAGACGACACGCCAGCTTCACGTACCTCGAGTTGTGTGACTCACGGTACTGCATACAGCGTGCGCGCGAACTCGGGTACAGTATCGCGTCCAACAAGCTACAGCAAGTGCCCCCCTGTATTGCTCGCAATAATTTGCCAGTGCCGCGCGACTCTCGCCGAAACCACCTGCGCGCTGGCAGCACACATTGCGCATGTGCGAAAAAGCCAACCCTACTGTTCACGAGGGAGCCGGCTACCTCGGTTTCCAGGCTGTTTTCGCAGTGTTGATCTTTGTGTGGGTGGAAATGTGTCCGCGCGCTGGAAATTCCAGAAACTGTGGACTCGGCTCAGTTGTCATTCGTTTTGAGGTACAGTGGTCAGTCTTGAGCCCTGAGACGTGTGTGGGCTCTAAAAATCCCGAAATGAACGCGCTGGACACGCCCTGAGGCTCCCTCTCGCTTCAAACGAGGATGCGAGCAAACGCAACCAAGCAGAGCAAAATTCCGTTTTCGTTACCACTTCTCACGGATCTCAAGACCCTATCCAGACGTTCTAATCCACTCGAATAACCTTCTGTAACACTAAGAACCCTATGAACCGCATTCACAGTTGCATTCAAAGCATCTCAAGATGGTTTGGTTCGGTGGAAGGGAGTGCTACCCTCCACCATGGATATGAACTTGCCTTGCTTGCTGCACAGCACACAACTTTCAGTTGCGTTGAGCAGCAGAATGATCAAAGCATGTGCTTCTGCTGCTGCATAGACCAGACCGGAACCGCGTTTTGACGATTTTCAAAGGTCAGTCTAGAGTTTTCAGAAGCGTTTTAAACAGGTCTCTAGCAGCGCGCTTCGCCTCGCTACTACACACTGCATAGGCCCGAGACCGCGTTTTGACGATACTCGAGGGCCTGTCTGTAGAGGTCTCACACGTGTTTCAACAGGTCTTTCGCAGCGCGCTTCGCCTCGCTCTTACACACGTCCGAACGTCAGTTTGTGGAAAGTTTTCTCATTGCGTTTGGTTTCACGCCGCGTAATTCTTCCTATCTCCGCTCGAAGATCGAACCGCGATCATCATTATCACAATCTCCAAACGCGCAGCGAAAAAAGGAATAATCTCTGTGGACCTAGGCTCCTCGTCTTCAGTACCTCCCCACCTTACGGCTAGTATAAGTGATAGCGGATTGGCTGTACCTAGTATTATCCCCGTGAAGAAGTCCGTACCGAGCTACTAACGAGCATGGCGTCGGACGGACACCCTCCGGAGAACCTAACAGACCTCTTACGCTCCCTGGAGAACTATGATCCTCTGGTGAGTGCATTGATGCGTTGTAAGCGTCTTCTTATGCCTTTTTCCTTGAGGAATCTAGAGAACTTCGACCTGCTGGTTAGTGTGTTTATGCGTTGTAAGTGTCTTCTTATGCCTTATTGCTTTAAGGCGGCTAAAAAGAAAGCTTCATTTTCTGGAGAACCTACCAACGGTTTAAATCGTTCGGGAGAGCTATGATCCGTTCCAGTCGTTTTCTCCTTTTCCCCGTTCCCATTCCTTCAGATTTCCAACGACCTGACTGACTGCAAACTATTTGCAGAGATTGGCGCCAGAAATCCCAACGTTCACGTGCGCGTTCAGGATAGTAATGACCTGTTCCCGCTTCCTCCTTTTCCCCGTTCCCACTCCTTTCAGATTCCTGACGACCTGACTGCATACTATCTGCAAAAATCAGGCGTCAGAAACCCCAACATCCACGTGTAAGTGTATCGAATCACACAAACAACACAAATTCGTTGTTTATCAAAGGCTGTCAAGGAAGTTCAAAATTGTTTTCTATTGATTTTTCTCATGCTTATTCTATCCCTTCTCTCCCATCTCCTCCTACCCCTTCTCTTGCTCTCGTCTCCTCCGTTTCTCTCACCCATATTGGCTCTGTGCATGCATGCGTACCAGCACTCGCCTTGTATCAGCTGCGGTTCATAAGCTCATAGGAGAGATGGCCAGTGACGCTGTTTTAATCTTTTCTCCTCCCTCCCCTCCCCCCTTACCCCTTTCCCCCCTCTGATACAAGTTCAGAGGAGCACAAGCTCATACGAGAGGTGGCCAATAAGCTGTCTCAAACTCCTCCGCTTCCTCCCTCTCTCCCCCCCCTCCGCACCCCCCCCCCCCCCCCCCCCCCCCCCCCCACCCACCCACCTCGTTCTGTGCACGCATGTCACCAGCACTCGCCTTGTGTCAGCTGCGGCTCACAAGTTCATAGGGGAGGTAGCCAGTGACGCTCTACAGTAAGTTTATGATGCGCACAGTAGGCTTATGATGTGCTACATTAAGTTTATGTGTGCTGCAGTAGGTTTACATGATGCATTACAGTAAGTTTATAATGCGCTACAGTATAGCTTATGATGCGCGACAGTAAATTTACAATGTTTTAGAGTAAGTTAATGTGCGCTACAGTAAGTTCGTGCGCATGTGCCACTCCCTTTCTCAAGCAAGTTGAATGGCATATCAATGCTGTCACACTCCTCCTCAAACCCCCCCCTCCCCTCTTTCTCTCTTTTCTCCGCTCCCTCCGTCCCTTCCTCCCCCCTCTCTTCCCCCTTTTTCCCCCTTTCTCTCCCCCCCCTCCCCTCGTTCTCCCCCCTTCCTCCCCCTTACCCTTTTCAGGTTCTGCAAGATCCGGCAGGCGGGCAGTGGCAAGGAGATGAAGTCGAGTGTTGGGGCTGATGCTGCCCCTCAACCCTGCCCCACTGCACCCTCCCCATTCCTTCTCCCCCCTCCCCCCGTTCCCTTTCAGGTTCTGCAAGATCCGGCAGGCGGGCAGTGGAAGGAGATGAAGTCGAGTGTTGGGGCTGATGCTGCCCCTCAACCCTGCCCCACTGCACCCTCCCCATTCCTTCTCCCCCCTCCCCCCGTTCCCTTTCAGGTTCTGCAAGATCCGGCAGGCGGGCAGCGGCAAGGAGATGAAGGCGAAAGGGCCCAAGGAGAAGAAGCTTGTACTCACTACAGAGGACCTCGCTGCTGCATTGAAAGAGGTGAGTTCATACTTAATGGCAACATATAGCTTCATTGCAAGGTTGGAGTAAGGACCTGTGGTGTAGGTGTTTGGTCCTTCATGTTTACTCCCCCCACTGAAACGTGTGTTTGCTCTGTCCGCTTGCTTTTGTGTGTGTGTGTGTGTGTGTGTGTGTGTGTGTGTGTGTGTGTGTGTGTGTGTGTGTGTGTGTGTGTGTTTGTGTGTGTCCGTGTCTGTGTCTGTGTCTGTGTCTGTCTTTTATCGTTCTCCATCTGTTGATGTGATATCCGTTGTCATTCTTTACAGTATGGTGTGAATGTGCGGAAACAAGACTATTTTGTGGATGGACCAACTCTAGTTGTAGGGAGAACAGGCAAGCACTGATGGTGTATGTAAACACCTATACCGGGTTGCAGTTTATTAACATACTTTTATTGATCTGGTTTATGATGAGTTTTGTAGTTCGGTATTTCAAATACTGCTTGTATGCATTTGAAGTAGGAACAGTGTCAGAAATCATTGCCTTCCTGTTAATTTCCGTTCACAGCACGTTAAACAGTCGCTTTTTATTGCAAGCTAACTGTATAAAGGCAGCCACACTTACGTTGTTGCGAGTCATCCTGTACTGGAATACCGGTAGCATTTCCTTCTGACAGTAGCAGACAAGAATCTATGAGCCCAGGTTGGCCGGGGGGGACAGAGCAGTTTTGATAATTAGGCAGCAGAACCAAGGTATGGTGGGTAACGGAGCCGTGTGTCGTCCTTTTCCTCCAGGCATGCATGTCATTTAGCATAGAATAATCTCGCTCGAGTAGCATATGAGCATGTCAATTCGCATTTGACCATGTGATGTTTGCGTGCTGTTTCGATTTCGAGAATCTCGAACCACGCTGCACGTTCATGAACCACTTATGTCAGTTCGAGCCGTCGTCGTGACTCGTGACTCGTGATTCGTCGCGGCTGACCAGGTGTTCAATACAACCAATCGAGTTCCTGGCGACGCGATCAGCTCTGCTTCTTAGGACCCGAGTTTCGTCGTGCGACGCGTGCGACCCACGCAAGAATCCAGGCGACATAGACACTGCTGCGCGTACGCGCACGCGCACGCCGCTTCTTGGCGCTTCCCAGACCTCTCTGCTAGGTAGTTCTGTCCCCCTTCTCCCCCACTTACCCTGTTCCTCTCTCCGCCCGTACCTGCGCACTGCCCCACTCCCGCGGCTTTTCCCAACCATTTCCGCCGAAACTTTCACCCCCTCCCTCCCCTCCCCGAGAAGTCGCTATCAGTAATTGACTTGCTGCTGCTTTCCGGCTATCAAGCGATTATCCCAAGGCTAAGAAAAAGTACAGCACTGTATACAGACGATAATCCCAACGGCAGGAAACAGTATAGTATTGTGCATAGATTTGGATCCAGCGTGGCACAAAGGCGACGAACGGTTGCAATGCGAGTTTGCCCTAGAGGAGTGATGGATCCAGAGTTGGAAGCATCGCCCTAAATCACGTGGCTGACTGACGCGCTGCTGCGATTGTCCGCGTCTCCGGCGTTCCAGCAAGAGCGACTGTAGCGAGCGTCGGGTGTTCGGCATAAGCGAAACAGTTCAAGGGGAATGCCGCTGCCTGTTGATTCCTCGACTGGTCCCTGGGTACGCTGAATTCGCTTTGCCATTTTGCCTCACCATTCTTAGATGTTCCGCCATTCTTAACAGCTCCGCATTCGTAGCTTCAAGATCTGTTTATACTCAAATGCTTAGCTTCAAAATTCGTTGCTTCTCACTTTGCTGTGGACTGGAACCCATGGATCATCCATTGTAAGCCCTGGAATCCATGGTTCATCAATTTTAAGCCTTGGAACCTTGTAAGGGATGCATTTCGAACCTCGAATCTCAATAAACCTTTGCGACTAATTCGTCTTTCTTAGCGTTTGAGCCGTTATTTTTTCCCTCGGTAGCTGTTGGTAGCTCTTCTATAGCCGGAGCGCCTAGAGCTTGCCATTTCATGGGCTTTCTGCAACATCACACCACAACAGCCGTAAATCTTCTGGTCCGCATCAGAGCCTATGAGTAGGCAGATTTTGCGACAGGCCTTCTTAAGAGACGCCATCTCCCTTCGGATTAGATTCCACCTTGCTGTCTCATTTGTTTCCGCTCTCGGTGTGAATGATCCTTGAATGAATCTCACAATCGGAGCTTCTCTGATTCCATTCACGTTGGTCCGAGTCTCTCTATCTATCTAATCCCCAGATTATAGCCATTTATCTGATTCCAGCCAATCCCTAAATTCTCAACCGAGCCGAACCCCGTCCATGCGGCAATGCCCTGTTCTTGTAGCTGCCATTTCTTGGACCTGTTCGTGTTGTTTGTTACGAGTCATTTTACAACACGTGGTGTTATTAATCGACTCAAAATGCGTATGTTCCTGTTGTTAATTGCCAGGTGGAGATGTGCGAGAGAGGAGTAGCACAGGAGGGTGGTGTGACAGAGGAGAGAAGAGAAGGAGGAGAGGGAGTAGATGCTGAGAAAGGGGGGGAGACAGTGGAGAAGCAACAGCAGGAGGAGAGGGAGAAGGGTGTTGAAAATGAGGCTGATATCGACGAAAATAATGGCAGTAGGGAGGAGTATTACCGTTACAATGATGGTGCTGCTGACGAGGCTGATGTGGATGATCACAATGATGATGAAGAAGATGAGGGGGAGGAGGATGCAGATGCAGACGAGGTGTTGACAGTTGACGATGCCATTGATTCCATAGGTGAGCCTCTGCTAAGAGTCGTAATAAACTCAAATATATGCAAGCAGTCCTTTCTCCTGTTGAGGAGGACGGAGATGCAGACGAGGTGTTGACGGTTGACGATGCCTTTGATTCCATAGGTGAGCTTTTTTTCAGTGCCCTAACTGTATTGAATTTGTGCCAGCTGTTGCTTTAGGGTTCGAAATCTCGCCCCAGGTGATGGGGATGGAGGATACTTTTCGAGGCGCCTCAAACGCCGCCCAAATGTTTTTGAAATACCAAAGATCGCTCCCCAAGTTGAGATTTTGCTCGATGTCATTCCATGCTCCAGTAACCTTTCCGCGCGTTTCCTCTCTGTCTCACCACCTGTCCTCTCCCCTCTCACTCATTCCCTTCCTCTTTCCCTCTTCCCCTCCTCCCCTCCTTAACCCCCACCAGGATTCGGACCCTACCAGCTCTTCCTCGTGTGTTACACTGGCCTTGCATGACTCATAGAGAGTTTATAAGTTACCCCCCCATCCTCTTCCCCTCACCAGGATCCGGACCTTACCAGCTCTTCCTCGTGTGACACTGGCCTCGCCTGGCTAGCTGACGCCATGGATGGAGATACTCTTTCCTTCATTTCACTCTCTCCCCTCTCTCCCTTCACCAGGCTTCGGCCCTTACCAGCTCTTCCTTCCTCGTGTGCTACACTGGCCTCGCATGGCTTGCTGATGCCATGAAGATGCTCCTTCCTACTCTCTCTCTCTCTCTCTCTCTCTCTCTCTCTCTCTCTCTCTCTCTCTCTCTCTCTCTCTCTCTCTCTCTCTCGAACGGACCTTCGTATTAATAGCATCAAGGTACAGTCATTGGTACTAAGCTAGTCTAAGCAATCAACCGGCAATCAAGCAAGTCAACAACCAAACAAACAAGCAAACAAACAAACAAACAAACAAACAAGCAAACACACCAAGGTACCACTGCTCATCCCTCCCCTACCCCCTCTCCCCACGGCCCTACTGGCCTGTGGGGTCTTCCAGCAGCTGGTACAGCTGCTCCTCCCCCAAGCTGCCAAACGGGCCTTGCAGGCCAAGCTCATCCGCGGCAATGGCCTTGTGGGTCTTGTCGCGAAGGGCATTGGCCTGGGCGCGCTGGAGAGTCACACTCCAGCGCTGACGGTACTCCGTGAGGAGCCTGGCCACCTCCCTCGACTTTGGCGCAGCGTTGAACCGCCGCTTGCCCGCGAGCTCGGCGCAGCTGCGGAGGAAGGCGTGCACTCCCGGGGACGGGTAGCCGTACGTTTCCACCGCCATGGCGTGGAAGCCTACCCACGCGTTCCGCCGCGCGTACTTGTCCTCTTTCTAGGCGGCTTGCATCCTTGCAGCCCACCCAGGCGCCTTCCGCGCAAGCTCATCTTGGTGGGAGACCGGGTCCGTCACGGTGATGTCGCACATGTGAACCTCGCCGGTGTCGGGATGGCGGATGCAAACATCCGCTTTGAGGTTTTCTACCGGAGAGTAAACTGTAGATTCCTTGTACACCGTGTATCCTGCCTCTGCTGCGATCTTCGCACACTCATCTCGGAGGGCATGGTGAGTGGCAATCCTCCCCCCGCCTTTCTCACAGCGCATGAGGTGGTTGGGAAGGCGGTGGTCAGGGAAGGTCGTGCGGAAGCGGCAGTCGCAACGCCGTTGGTGCAGTCGGTGCTGGGCCTTCTCTCTCTCTCTCTCTCTCTCTCTCTCTCTCTCTCTCTCTCTCTCTCTCTCTCTCTCTCTCTCTCTCTCTCTCTCTCTCTCTCTCTCTCTCTCTCTCTCTCTCTCTCTCTCTCTCTCTCTCGAATGGTCCTTGCATTACTATGAGGGGTGGTACAAAGGAAGATGCAGAACACACAAGCACAACAAACATCCAAACCGAGATCCGAACTACCTCAAGTCTCCTACCTACTCAGCCCCCCCCCCCTCTGTCCGACCCTACTGGTCGAACGGGGCCTCAATCAACTGGTGCAGCTGTCCCTCACTGAGAGGGATGATGGGTCCTCTAAAGCCGAGCTCGTCCGCCGCCAAGGCCTCGTTGGTCTTCGTGCGGAGGGCATGGTGAGTGGCAATCTCTCTCTCTCTCTCTCTCTCTCTCTCTCTCTCTCTCTCTCTCTCTCTCTCTCTCTCTCTCTCTCTCTCTCACTCTCTCCTCTCCTTGCCCCTTCGCTTCCATCCTATCCTCCTGTTCTCACCAGGTTTCGGCCCTTATCAGCTCTTCCTCGTGTGCTATACTGGCCTTGCATGGCTCGCTGATGCCATGGAGATGATTCTGCTCTCCTTCGTGGGACCAGCGGTGAGTGCAGGTCATGGTCATACATACTAGCTATATATTAATCAATTCGCCTTGCCTTGCCTGGCTCGCTGGCGCCATGCAGATGATTCTGCTCTTCTTTGTGCGGCCACCAGTGAGTGTGGTCTCATGTATTGCATTGCATTGCAGTGCTTGGTAGCTCTTTTTATGGTCAGGGAGGCAAGAACTTGATGCGGTCTGATCTGACTGACACGTGTTGGGTCTTACCTTGCTCGCTGAGCTGAATTATTGTGTCTTACCACTTTATTTACTGGTTACGTACCACCAGAACAGTGCCTTCTGTCCCTTTCACTGCCTCTTGAGGCGCCTCAAATTTCTGGCTCGCTGAACTGATTTAAGGCATCGTACCACTTTATTCACTTACTGGTCCACCTGCCTCCTGTCGTTTCCCCTGCCTTGCTTCTTCCCCTGCCTTGTTTTTTCTCTGCCTTGTCTCAACCAACGCAATCTCCCGTTCTCCCTGCCAGGCGCGGTGTGAGTTTGGACTTTCAGCAGCAGAGGAGAGCCTCATAGCGAGTGTGGTGTTCCTGGGTGTATTTTTGTAAGTGCCCTTTTTGTCGACCCCTTCATTAGCACAATCATCCAAGCAGGGGAGAAGAGCCTAACTGTCATTCCAGCGTGATGGTGTTCTGTTGCTTGATTCTCTATGTTATATTTTTCTCCTGTCAGGAAACACATCCTGTGCTCCCTTTAGATCAATTTCCCCTCCCTCCCTCCATCTCCCTTCCATCCTTCATGTGTCTGCCATACCAGGGGATCGCACATGTGGCAGCGCGTGACAGGTGCATGCAGAAAGAACAAAAAGAGTCTTCTCAACCTGTGCTCCCTTCAGCTCAATCTCCTCTCCCTCCCTCCATCTCACCTCCATCCGTCATGTGACAGGGGCTTGTACGTGTGGGGCCTCGTGGCAGATGCCTAGAGCAGAAGGAGAGGGTTCATCATGACACCGCTGCCCTCTTCAATCCATTCAACCACCTTGTGTGTCCCTTACCATCCATCTCCTTTTATCCATCTTTCACCTGCCAGGGGCTCCTACGTGTGGGGCCTCGTGGCAGATGCCTACAGCAGAAGGAGAGGGTTCACCATGACACCGCTGCCCTCTTCACAATCAGCCACCTCTCGTCTCTCTTGCTCCCATGCTCTCATCTTCTGTCTGTCCATATCAGGGGCTCCTACGTGTGGGGCCTCGTGGCAGATGCGTATGGAAGGAGGAGGGGGTTCATGGCCTCTGCTCTCTTCAACTCAATTGCCTCGTGTTTCTCTGCCTTTCCTTGTCTCTCATCTTCCTTTTCACTCATCTTGCATCCGCAATGCCAGGGGCTCCTACGTGTGGGGCCTCGTGGCAGATGCCTATGGAAGGAGGGGGTTCATGGCCTCTGCTCTCTCAAGTGAAACACCTCAATCCAACGGCATCTCGTCTCTCTTCCTCCCATGCTCTCATCTTCTGTCTGTCCATATCAGAGGCTCCTATGTCTGGGGCCTCGTGGCAGATGCCTACGGAAGGAGGAGGGGGTTCATGGCCACTGCTCTCTTCACTCTCTTCGCTGGCTTGCTCAGGTAATTTTTCAGGTCGGGTAGTTCCTCAGGTGTTTTTTCCGGGTGATTCTTCAGGTGAAAAGGTGGGCCAAATACTGATTCAGTTCATTATCTCTGCGTTTATAACTTTTAGGTCCGAGTCAGGCCCGAAGATTCTCGCATCAGGTCGCATTGGTTGTCTCCCATGCTATATCCTTGATCCATCCCTCTTTGTCCTTGTCCGAGTGCGACAGCCAATGCGACCTGACGTCTCCCATCCTATATCCTTGTGAGAAGGTTGTAACCTTCTCACATCAGGTCACTCACATTGGCTGTCTCCCAGCCCAGCCCACATCCATCCCTCTTTTTCCTCCCTGTAACCCCATCTCCTCCACCCCCTCATCGTTCTTATCCATCTCTTCTCCTCCATAACCTCACTATCCTCCCTCCACACACCCCACACCACACACACAGTGCGTGGTCACCCACCTTCCTCGCCCTCCTCATCTCTCACTGCCTTGTGGGGTTTGGCATCGGAGGGGCTTCTGTGCTACTCTCTCACTCAGTATTCTCCTCTCCTCTTCCCTCTTCCCTCCACCACACAGTGCGTGGTCGCCCACCGTCCTCACTCTCCTCATCTCTCGCTGCCTTGTGGGGTTTGGCATCGGGGGGGTGGTGGTTGCCGAACATCCCCTCACCATCCCTCCCTTCCTTCCCCCACACCACACCACACAGTGCATGGTCCCCAACCTTCCTCACTCTCCTCGTCTCGCGCTGCCTCGTGGGGTTTGGCATCGGGGGGGCATCCGTGGTCTTTTCCCTCTGCTCCGAATTCCTTCCCTCCCACTGTCGGGGTTTCTGGCTCGTGTTTATCGAGTTCTTCTGGACGGTAAGTGACATGCTTAGTGCTGTTCCGTGGTAAGTGGCATTGGAGGGGCATCAGTGGTCTTTTCCCTCTGCTCCGAATTCCTTCCCTCCCACTGTCGGGGTTTCTGGCTCGTGTTTATCGAGTTCTTCTGGACGGTAAGTGACATGCTTAATGCTGTTCCATGGTAAGTGGCATTGGAGGGGCATCAGTGGTCTTTTCCCTCTGCTCCGAATTCCTTCCCTCCCACTGTCGGGGTTTCTGGCTCGTGTTTATCGAGTTCTTCTGGACGGTAAGTGACATGCTTAGTGCTACTTCAAGCAAAATCCTGGAACTTTTATGAGATTGCCTGAAAACGAATAACATGAAGGTACTCCTTGAGATTATAACGAAGGTAATAAAAATAATGAAATCTCCACGACGCATTACATTATGTCCGCACCTTCTTGTTTCAGGTATTTTTTCAAAAGCAGTCCTACCACCTTCCTGCATCTCACTCACTGTGCATAGTTCTCCTCTGCCCCTTGCTTTGCCTCCCCCATGCCTCTTGCCTCTCACCATGCCTCTTGCCTCTCACCATGCCTCTTGCCTCTCACCATACCTCTTGCCTCTCACCATGCCTCTCCCGCACCATGCTTCTTGCCTCTCCCGTGCCTCTCGCCTGTCTTTCCAGATTGGGTCGCTAATAGAGGCGGCGCTTGCTTGGGCAGTCATGCCGAGCCTACACTGGAGGTATGGAGATTTACCAAACCTGCTTCATATTTCTGGGAAGTACCGTTGGCCTGGTTTGAAAGTTACTGGAAAGGTCCCTGTCTAGCCCACGTAGTGATCTTCTCCTGTTCTACCATGGCTCCTGTTCTACCATGGCTCCTGTTCTACCATGGCTCCTGTTCTACCATGGCTCCTGTTCTACCATGGCTCCTGTTCTACCATGGCTCCTGTTCTACCATGGCTCCTGTTCTACCATGGCTCCTGTTCTACCATGGCTCCTGTTCTACCATGGCTCCTGTTCTACCATGGCTCCTGTTCTACCATGGCTACTACCATGGCTCCTGTTCTACCATGGCTCCTGTTCTACCATGGCTCCTCCTTCTGGCCCCACTCTGCCACTCCCTTCCCTTCCTTTCCCCCTCGCTGCCCCTCCCTGCACCTCTCTCCCCCTCCCTTACCCTCCCGGCCAATCCCTACCCCTCCCTACCCCTCCCTACCCCTCCTCTCCTCTTGCCTCCACCCCAGGGCCCTAGTGCTCCTCTCTGCTGCGCCCTTTGCTCTTCTGCTGCTGCTCTACCTTCCTTCCCCAGTCACAATACACCTTTCTCCTCTTGCTCCTCTCCCTCCCTTCCTCTCCTTTTTTCCCACCCTGTGTCTGTCTCGTCCTGTCTTCCCTCCCTCCCTCCCTCTCGTCTTGCCTTCTCTCCCCTTCCCTTACCCTCCCTGCCCATCCCTTCCCCTCCATGCCCCTCCCACCTCTTGCCTCTCTTCCAGCGTTTTAGTGCTCCTCTCTTCAGCACCTTTGCTCTTCTGCTGCTGCTCTACCTTCCTTCCCGAGTCACAATACACATTTCTCCTCTCGCTCCTTCCCCCTTCCTCTCCTCTTTCCCCACACTGCCCCTCTCTCGTTTTTCCCTCCCTCCCTCCCTCCCTCCCTCCCTCCCTCCCTCCCTCCCTCCCTCTCCGTTTGCCTCCACCCCAGGATGCTAGTTCTCCTCTCTGCTACGCCCTTTGCGCTCCTGCTGCTGCTCTACCCTTTCCTTCCCGAATCGCCTCGGTTTCTCCTGGTCAGTAAAAGATATTGGTGGTGGGTTCGTGTTATGGGGTGGGTGGGTGGGTGGGTGGGTGGGTGAGTGAGTGAGTGAGTGTGTGGGTGGTGAGTGTGGGTGAGTGGGTCTGCAAGCTACACCGTGTGTCCACCACACCTGTTGCGCTCCTGCCTTTGTTTTACCCCAACTCAACCCAACCCAACCCAACCCAACCCACCTCAACCCAACCCAACCCAACCCAACCCAACTCAACCCAACCCAACCCAACCCAACCCAACCCGACCCAACCCAACCCAACCCAACCCATCCCAACCCAATCCAACCCAACCCAAACCAACACCATCCTTCCCTTTCTCCTCTCGCCTTCTCTTCTCCTTTTGCCTTTGTTCTGTGCTCCTCTTCTCTTCCCCTATTTGTGTGAATTAAGAATTTTAGAAATGCACATAAATTTTCTTGCTCATTTTCCTCCATTCACTCAAATAGCGTGTCAGCAGCCCACCACTTTTCATATCCTTTCTCTCCCTTTTTTTTTCCTTCTCCTTCCTCCTTTCCACTTTTTTCCCACCCCTTCCTCCCGTTCTCTCCTCCCTTTACTCACATACCCTTGCCTTCTTACTCCTCCCCCATTCTCACCCCCTCATTCCTCCCCTCCCTCGATCTCCCTCCCAACCCTCTCTCTTATCCTTGCTCTTCCCTTCCCAATCAGCTCAAAGGCAACACGTCAGCAGCACATACAGTCCTAGAAAAAGCCGCTCGAACCAACGGGAAGCGCCTGCCGCCTGGGCGGCTGGTTTCAGCCTCATCTGGTCCAAAGCTACTGGCTTCACCACACCCCTCCTCTCCTTCTCCCGCCCATGCCACCTCCTCGACTCCACCACCCTCCACTACTAAACACCGTTCCTCCCGCTCCTCCTCTCACTACCCTGTCTACTCCTCCTCCTCCTCCTCCTCATCCGTATCTCATTCCCGTTGCTCCTCCACCACCCCTCTCTCTCCGAACAACGTTTCCTTCAACTCAAATTTCGATGCCGGCCCTTCCCTGCCCTCTCAACCCTCTCCCTGCCGAATATCTGAAAGGGCAACACTCAAACACACATTTGAGGCGCCTCAAAGGACACCCCAAACGGCAACACTCCAACACACAGCACTTGAAAGCACGGTGCTCCAAAGAAAAGCGCCTCGAAGCACACGCACGTCTAGCCCCCCTTGTTCTTTGTCTTTCCCTTCCTCTTCCTCCTCCTCTTTCCCGCCTCTCCCATCACAACCAGTATCAGCTGAAAATACTGACAGAGAGCAAAGTAGTCAACACGATTCGCATTCCAAGGAGCAGCTGCAGCAGCATCCCCGCTCCCATCCCCATGCTCATCCCCATCCCCACCCACAGCACCATCACCACCACCAACATTTCCACTCACATCCCCACCTACCTCCTCCTCCCCATCCCTCCTCCTCTTCCTCCTCCCCTTCCTCCTCCTCTTTCCACAAGCTCACTAGCCTCCTTTTCCCCTCCCTCCTTCGCTCTACTCTGGTCGTCTGGCTGCTCTTTTTGCCTCGGCCTTTTCCTACTATGGGCTCGTGTTGCTGACCACTCAGCTGTCCTCTCAGCCCACCATTCCACACTCCTCTCAACCCACCACTCAGCTGTCTTTTCAACCCACCACTCCGCACTCCTCTCAATCAGTAGGGGGAGCAGCATTAGATGCAGAATCAGCGGCAGCAGCAGCGGCGGCAACAGCAACAGTAGCAGGAGGAGGAGCAGTAGAAGCAGCAGCAGCGGGAGAAAATGCATCGTATTCCGCTGGCTCTTCCCCTGTTCCCTCTAGAGGCTTGCTCACTGAACAGTCTATTTCTGAGGAGTCTCAAGAGTCAACGCCTGTCCGTGGCTCTTCCCCTGTTCCCTCCAGAAGCTTGCTCACTAAACAGGACCATCCCATCCCTACAGTAGCGATCGCACTCCCTCCCCCTCCACCTCCTCCTCATCCTGCTCCTCTTCTCGGCCCTAGCACACCCAACCATCAACACTCTCTTCCCTCTCTTCGTCGTTCCTTGACTCTCTCTCAACAACAAGATAACTCCACCTCCACCACAGACGATTCCTCGGCCACTCACTCCCCTACCTCTTCCTCCACCTCGTCATCTTCCTTGTATTCCCATTCTCCCTCTTCCTCCTCTCTTTCCCCCTCTCCCTTACCTGGCTGCACACCTGAAAATCAACCTGAGATCTCCTCTCAGACCTATTCAGACGTTTTTGTTACTTCAGCTGCAGAGCTGCCCGGTCTTCTCATCGCTCTGATCGGGGTCGAGATTTTAGGTCGAAAGACCGTCCTCTGGGTTCTCCTCTGCTTAGCAGGGTTTTTTTTTGCTGCCTTTGATTCAGCCCTTGCCGCCCACTGCCACCACGATTTTCCTTTTTGCTGCCCGGGCAGCAATTATGGGGTCATTTGCGGTGCTCTGGGCATATACCCCGGAAATTTACCCGACCGAGATAAGATCTACAGGCCTCGGGGTGGCAAACTCATGGGCAAGGTTGGGCGGCTTTCTTTGTCCGTTTGTGGCGGTCGGGCTGATCGAAGGAAATCACAGGGTAGGTCTGGTTGTATTCTTTTGTTTCTTTTTGTTTCGGTTGCTCTTTGTTTGTTGCGTGTGGTTACCAGCTTTGTCCCTTTTCTAACCGTGCGAGCCTGCACATGCACACACACACACACACACACATGTGTTTATGTGCATGTTTGCATGCACACTCTCTCCGCCCCTCCCCTCTCCCTCCTCCCCCCTCCCCCCACCCCCCCCCGCCCCCAGCACTTAGTTCGACAAAAATTGAATCTTGGAACCCATTGCGTGTGGTTTATGTGTGTGTTATTGGCAAAATCTATTGTTTGCTCTCCGTTTGCAACCTCTCCCATCCTTCCTGGTGTCCACTTTATTTCGTTGTCTTTTGAGGCGCCTCAGGACTCAGGAGGCCTCTTATGTGCTCTCTGCTTGTTTTCAATGCCTCCCCCACTACCATGTCTGCCTCTTGATTGGCTCATGTTCTATGCTGATGCTCGTCACCTGCGGGTTTCATGACATTTTTTTACTGTGGCATCTCATATCTATTTGTATTTCCTCCTTTTTTGTTTTCTAATGCAGGAGTTGGCTATCCTCCTTTTTGTATTTGTTCCTGTTTTTGCTGCCCTCGTTACTGCATGCTTTGCATCAGAGACAAAGGTATGTTCATGCTTTCGAAAGAGTACTACCGAACTCACTGCATCAGAATTAATTTTGATGAATGGCCATCTTCCCTTTCATCCAATCATTTTTCATTGAACATGTTCTCTTACCTATTTTCACCTTTGCTGTATGTAGGGGACTGCTCTTGGGGAGAAGGTATCTACCTTTCGACCCACCAGCCAATCACCGAGCAGCATGTCTCTTACCAGCCCCACTTTTTGTCAACCTGATGCAGCTCACAGCTGGTTTCAAGTGTTTGGGGACGACAGCTCGTGCAGTGACTCTGATTAACCCCTTATATTCTATCTCTTGTCATGTAATATATGTGCCAAAATGTATGCTTCCGAATCACTGCATTTTTCTAAAATATGAAGTAAATTATCCCTCTTCACTAACCTAAAGGGAACTCTAAATGTATTTTTATTATAATGTATCCAGTATACAGATTATAGTGTCTTTGTCACTACGTCTATTGAGATGAAATAATTCTTGTATCAGGTTTCTTAAAAAAAACACCCACTTGAGTTGCCCGTGCTATGAGGGAAGAAAATATCGCCACACAACGACAGCGTGGGATACGCAAGCAGCGGCACTTGGCTGTTCCAACGATCACCGCGTTGGCCTGGCTTGGGGAGCTTACTGTACAAAAATCCGCGCTGTCGATATACTGTCTTGCATGCAGATTGTGAACTCAACAGTTCCAGGACGGGCTGTCCATGCCTCTTTTGTGTGGCACCTCGTGATTCACAAACATGAACTGGGTGTGGGGTGTTTGTTTCTAACATTGGTTCGATTTACGAAATACAGTTTAGGATGACTTTGTAGTCCTGTTACTCCTTGCTTCTCAGTTTGTTGTGACCATCGTGTTAGACAACAGGATGGTTCCATTTCCTCCCGTAGCATCTCTGCTCCCTAGGAGTTTTATGACTGCAAAAAGGCACTTCAAGTCTGGTGAGGCTGGTGAAATAAGTGTGCGGTTTCTGCGCTGAGTGGTATTCATCTTTTACCCTGATTCGGGCAGGTGGCGCGCAAGATGTCCCGGTGCAGACACTGCATTTTGTGACTTAGCTGGGCGTGGGATGTCATGTCAGCAAGAATGCCTTCAGTTGTGCAAGTGCAATGCAGACGATCAGATCCTCAACTGCATGACGTCATTATCACGTGAAACACTGTGATTACTGGTTAAAATTGACCACGCACCTCGGAGCGAATAATCAGCAGCACCAAATCACAAGGGTCTGTATTGCACTGTACATTGTACACTGTGGAGATCGGTGCATCGTGCATCGTGTATATCGTTCCTTCCGGCGTTCGTGTGAGTCATGCTGGAACAAGGAGGATGGCAGGCCTCTCAAACCACGCCGGACTTGTGACTGACTGCTGCTGATTGGCTCTTGCCTAGCAGCAGAGGGCAAGCAAGCGGCCATTATCTCCGATACTCAGATTTTGCCTGAGCGCGTTCTCAGGTGTAATCAACCTGGACTTTCTCAACGTTGATTGGTCGTCGCGTTTTAGTAACATTTTTCACGCTGGTCGAACTCATTAGAAAGTAACAAAAACAAAACCGTCCAGTTTACCCTCCCGACCTGGATATATGTACGGAAATTAAGGTGAAGGTAAAGGAGGGGGGGAAGCCCCTCTGGGTGTTACCCACACCTGGCTGTCGGTCGTAACCCGCCTCCCCATTTGTTTACACTCCTCGCTGGGTCAACGAGGTTGTTCTATCCACTCCCAGATGAGTAGCTATGTAGCCCCTTCTAGTGGGGGTTGGCGGAATACGCCGCATGGGGGATTTGATCCCGATACCTCATATTTCAGAAGTGAACCAGCTACTCGCTGGACCACTTCAGGATGTACGGAAATTAAGGTAGTAAGAGAATGAAGCCCACAGAATTCACTTGGTAGTGCTTAGTAGCGCAACCGACCGCTAAACAACGCTACCGAAAGCACTAGACGACGCTACCGAGACCTATTTGGGCATGGCATAAAAACAAAATGAAACCCCTAGGGAACCTGGATGCATTTTCGAGAGGGGTCAACCCTAAACACGGAAGTGGGAATTGTTTTTAGGGTTGATGCATCCCCGAGTCGCATCCCTTTCCGAGGTGGGTATTATTATTTTTGTCAAGTGGGTTACAATATGTTTTCCAAAATATTTGGAGGCTTTCGGTGTTCAGGGTTGATCCTTCCCGGAAAACATATAGGCTCGCTACGGGCATTATATTTATTTATTGCAAGTGCTAGACTTCCTCTTTTTGAGTGACTGTATATAAACATGAAACAGAATAGATTCACACTATATCGAGAAACTGGGTTTCTGTTGGTGTTTACACCTTAGAACGCGCTCATGAAAAATCTGAGTATCGGAGATAATGGCCGGGCAAGCAAGTGCACAGTTGTCACGGAGCATCGCGAGCGAAACCTCGTGACACCACGGAATTTCGGGATTTCTGGGTCGGCCGGGTTGTTTCTGGATTATCCAGACTTTATGGGCTGAATTGTGCAATGGAAATGTCAGGCTCTAGTGAACCTCGTACGAGGTGTTGCGTGCTGAGCGACATGGGTGTGGTACGTACTTGGAAACGCTCTATGTTATGAGGATTTGTTTCGTAAAATCACCAAAATGGGGACAAAATAAATAGAGATGGGACCGCTGTGCACGCTCGACAAGGCAGTGACCAATAAACGCGGATGCATCCGCGAAATATGCATGAAATGATTGCCTGCGTCAGCAGTAGCTTTTGCCCCAAACCAGCATTCACTTCACTGTCCATTATTATCCAAACCCAGCACCTAGTGTGTGTGGATAGCAAAGGTTTTGGAAGTGTGGGTCCTTCATTCCTAAGTGTAGCAGATGTTGTCCACGCGAAGATCATAAGTGGATCCCTCGTACTGTAGTGCCACGGAAATAGGCTGTCACCTCACCATTCAAAGCCACACTCGTTCCAGGCTTGCACGCGCGCCTCACGACACGTCACGTCCCTCCCACACAAACCAAAATCACCCTACCATCGCGAACGCTGGGTTTTGATCTGAGCAGTGTTTGATGATACTCGTAGGGACATTTACTCTGAGAAAAAAGAATTGTGGCTTCCGCAAATTCCCGCTTTCCGCAAAAAGCAACGTGATCCGCCCGTGGACGGATCACGAACTGATTTATAATTTCACTATTTACCCATAGCAGCAAATCGGACACTCTGGCAGAAAATGGTAGTCAGCCTTTGGAATTTGAGAGTAGCCTAAACTGTACAGTTCCATTCATTCTAAGACTTGCGATTTGTTTTGTTGTACGCCACACTGAATCACTGCTGGGAACGGAAAGACCACCACAGGCAAGCAGCAAATGCAATGCAAGCAGCAGCCCCCAAACGCTACTCTATGTTTCTGAGAGGAGGCCACACAAGTTGCGCCAGTTTTTTCTATTTGTGGCTGTTCCCCAGGGATTCGTGAGTCTCATCCCTCACTAGTGGCAACTGAGGAGCAGAATGGCCAGTTGGACTCAGAGAGCTCTCAAGCTGCATCGCCTGGCCGTATAGACTCTGTTTGCCTGCCAAAATCATTCAGTCAGCGTGCAAATGTCATAGTGGAGCTGATAGCTGTTTTTTTTCCGCGATCTCTCGTGGCCAGCATCTCCGTGGCGTCGTCAAACCTATAGAAGTCCTTGCTTTCTTTTTCTTCGCCATTCTGTCATAAAAGAAGTGAGCCGAAGACCGAAGAATGTAACTCAGGCTGAAAGGGAATAGAGTCCTCAGAGGAGTCCTCAGAGGAAATAGAGTTTATTAATTGGCATGTGCTTGATCTGGATCCCAAAAAGTTCCGAAGACTCTTCCAGTGCCAAATTTTCACAGCAGTGACATTTGGACTGCGACGCATCATCCCCAACCGTGACGGCGTCACGCAGACGTAACAAGCGCCGCGGGAGCTTTCTGCGTGACAAGATCTATATGAAGAGAGGCGCCGCGCGCGCGTTATCACCAAACGGCGCCGTGCCCTTGCCGTTTTGTAAGCCGGCCGCAGCGGCGTTACCACCACACCATTGGCAATCATGGTGATTCCTTCACCATCATCACCGTCATCATCGCATGATCATTATGTCCGATCCGATGCGCAACCGCTGCCAGCGCCGCTACTAGCGGCGCGTAATCCGGCGGCGCTGCAGCTGCACGACGAGTCACTGCCAGTGCAGCAGCAGCGGAACCAAGCCGCTGGCGCCGGCTCTACCGCCATCGCCGGCGCAATCCCCGTGGTACAGTCGGCGCCTCTTCTCTGTGGACCCTTATCTGGACGCTGCCGCCTCCTCCGCCGCCTCTGCGGCCGCCGCCGCCGCCGCCGCAGCCGCGGGCTCCGCGGGCGCCGCCGCGAGCGCAGCTCCCGCCGTCGGGCCAGCCAGGGGGAGCGATTTTTTGCAGAATCCGCCAATTCTCTCCTTCAAATCTCTCTTTGAATCCGCTCCGCGGCCACTGGGAGACCCTCTTGCCTTAACGGATCTCCCTTTACCGGAGCAAAACCGGATGGCTTTCCTCCTCCTCCTCCCTCTCCACCATGCACATCGTGACGTCAGCGGCCTCTCTCCTTCCTTCCCCTTTCCTCCTCCCTTCTCCTATCCTGCCTTCCCCTGTCCTCCCCTCCCCAGTCCTCCCTTCCCCAGGGGCTCTTCCTTTCCCTCTCCTCCATTCCCCTGAGTTTATCCCGAAAACGCAAACGACCCAAAAAACAAACCACGATTTCAGCCAGCCTACTCCTCCTCCTCCCCGTCCTCCAACCTTTCCCCCTCCCCCTCCAACTGCTTTCCCTCTCCTTGACACACGTCTGGCCACGTCAGCAGGTGTTGGATCCAGGTGCTGGGTGGCAGAGAGCGAGGTTGCTCCAGGCGGCGAGGCCTCGGCAGGTTCTGGTTCCGGGCGGCATCGTTTGGAGACACTATCATTGCTGCCGCCCAGCCCAGCACGTGGCACTGTTCCCATCTCTCGTGATGGCACTGCTGCGGCTGCTGCAGTTCCGCCCCGTTACAAGGACGCTCGTTACAGTCACAGACAGTACCTGCAGTGTTGGAAGCATACTCGGAAGGGATGATGCAGTACCCAGAAACGCTCCTTCTCCTCGCCTGCTGAATCTCTTTGGGACCCAGTCAGACGAAGACTGTATAACCCAAAGGGGAGATGGAATAAGAGTAGGGGAAGGAAGGATACGGGCGGGGGATGTGGAAGGGGAGGGGAGGATAAGGGAAGGGGAAGGAGATGGGGTGAGAAGGGGGGTAGAAGGGAGGGCAAAGGAGAGAAAAGGGAGGAGAAGCGAGGGGGAAAGAGAGGACAAGAGAGGGAGAGGGGAGGAAAAGGTTCAGGGGTAGTGGTGTTTCTAAAGATGATGAAGAGAGGACGGATGAGACAGGTTGGGAGGGTGCTGCGAGGAGGGATAACGAGGATAGGAGAGTGGTCATGAGGGGGAGCATGGGGATGGATGAAAAAAATGGGTACTGGCATGGGTACAGGCATGGGGACAGGCATTGGCACGGGCATGGGGAGAGACATGGGGAGAGACGTCACAGGGATGGGGGGCAGAGGTGTTACAATGACTGAGGGTGATGCTAAGGCAGCAGCAGAAGCTGCTGCTGTGGCTGCTTCTGCAGGGTTGTCGTACCTGCAGCAGCGAAATCAACTGTTGCTGCTTCGGCAACTGAGGCAGCAACAGCAGGAGCAGCAAGAGCAGCAGCAAGGGCAGCAGCAACAACAACATGAGATGCAGCAGCAACAAGCCTTGCTGCTGAGAGCTCAGGAGCAAGCTGAGAAGCAGCAGCAGCAGCAGCAGCAGCAAGCCCTGATGCAGAGAGCTCAGGAGCAAGCCGAGCAGCAAGCTGAGAAGCAGCAGCAGCAGCAGCAGCAGCAGGAGGAGGAGCAGCAGCAACAGCAGCAGAGGCAGCATGAGGTGCTGCAGCAGCAAGCCTTGATGCAGAGAGCTCGGCAGAAAGCTGAGAAGGAGAAGGAACAATCGCAGCAGGAGCAGAGTCAAAGGCTGGAGCATCAGCAGCAGAATCAGTGGCTGGAGCAGCAGCAACAACAACAACAGCAGCAGCAGCAGCAGCAGCAGCAGCAGCAGAAGCAGCACCAAGCCCTGATGCAGAGAGCTCGGCAGGAAGCTGAGCAGGAGAAGGAGGAATTGCAGAAGGAGCAGAGTCAGAGGTTGGGGATTCAGCAGCAGCTGATGAAGCAGCAGCTACTGTTTCTGCAGCAGGGTTTTGAGGAGCGAGAAAAGCAGCGGCAGGAGGTGCAGGCAGCAGGTCTGGAGCAGGCACAGAAACAGGAACAACAACGGGCAGAGCAACAGGCAGCACAATCACTCTCACAGCAACAGCAACAGCTGCAGCTGCTTCTTTTGAGACAACTGGAGGAGCAGGCAAGACAGAGACACGAGGGGCAGGAAGCAGAACAGCAGGCACAGCAGCAGGCACAGCAACAGACACAACAGCATGCAGCACAATCGCACGCACAGCAACAGCTGCAGCTGCTTCTTCTGAGACAACTGGAGGAGCAGGCGAGGCAGAGGCAACAGGGGCAAGAATCAGAGCAGCAGACACAGCTGCAGGCACAGCAACAGACACAACAACAGGCAGCACAATCACACGCACAGCAACAGCAACAGCTGCAGCTGCTTCTTTTGAGGCAACTGGAGGAGCAGGCGAGGCAGAGGCAACAGGGGCAAGAATCAGAGCAGCAGACACAGCAGCAGGCACAGCAACAGACACAACAACAGGCAGCACAATCACACGCACAGCAACAGCAACAGCTGCAGCTGCTTCTTCTGAGGCAACTGGAGGAGCAGGCGAGGCAGAGGCAGGAGGAGCAAGAAGCAGAACAGCAGGCCCAACAGCAGACACAGCAGCAAGCCCAGAAACAAGCACAGCAGCAACAGCAGGCAGAATTTCCAGTGCAATCGGCTGAGCGACATCAGATTCAATCAGTTGAGCAGCATCAACGCACTCAGGTCCTCTGAGTGAGCACGCTCAGGCCCTCCTCTCCTCCTGGTTTGGAGTATCAAATTTCGCTCCCTCTGCAGCTGCTGCTGCTGCCGCTGCTGCCACTGTTGCCACTGCTGCCGCTGCTGCCACTGCTGCTGCTGCTGCTGCTGCTGCTGCAATGCTGCCACTGCTGCTGCTGCCACTGCTGCCACTGCAGCAGAAGTTGATTCAATCCCAGGACTCACAATAAGGTCAAATGCTGCTGCCACTGGTTCAGGTGGTGGTGGTGCTGCTGCTGCTGGTGCTGGTGGTGGTGCTGGTGGTGGGACCGTTTCAGTTTCATCTGGTGCTGGTTTCAATGCCCCGCCTCATGCTGCCGCCCAGCATCCAGCTCAGCTTCCCTTGGACCGTCTTCCTGGTATGCCGGGGCAGCGGGCCGGGCGGGTATTCTTGTCCTGTCTGCGGCAACGTTTTCCCACGTCGCAGGCGCTTGGGGGACACATGACGTGCCACGTGGCACGACGTAAGAGGACGTCTCGAAAGGGGGAGCCTCGCTGCAGCAGCAGCATCGGCGGCTAAAGCAGGACTGGCAGGAGGGAAAGGAGGACTGAGAGGAGTAGGTAGAGGTGGGGGAGGGAGGAGGAGAAGGGAGGGGAGAGAGAGGGGGAAGGGAAGGGAGAGGGGGAGGGGAAGGCAGAAGGGAAGAGGGAAGGGAAGGAGGAGGGGAAAGATGGGGAGGCAAAGGAGCTCCAGAAAAGCTATTTGAGAAAGCAACAGGGGGTGCTGGTGGTAGTGCCAAAGCCAGTCCTTTCCAATCCCTCCCCACTCTTCCCTCGCAACCCGCTTCATTCTCCCCTTCCAAGCGCAATGCAACCGTGATGCACCTCCCTTCCACTTCTGGTGCCAGCAGTGCCAGCGCTGCTGCTGCTGCTGGTGCTAGTGCTGCTAGTGCTAGTGCCGCTGCTAGTGCAGGTGGTGCTGCTAGTGCTGATGCTAGTGCTGCTGCTAGTGCTGGTGCTAGTATTGGCACTCCTGCTGCTGCCAGTTCTGCTGCTGCTCGCGGAGGTCGATCTCGGTTCACAGAAGCATCACAGCGTGGAGTGTCCACTGCTGTTGCTGCTCCTACTTCTGCTTCTGCTCCTGCTGCTGCTATTTTATCGATTCCGGAGCTACTGGAACGTAATCCAATCCGGGGCGCAAGCCTGGGCCGCAACCCAAGTCTTAACCTCAGTCCGAACCTCGGCCAACGCCCGATGCCTGGCAGAACGGAGAACCGAGCCTGTTGCAGTACGTTGGGTCACTGCCTCGTCGTGATGCCCTGCCTTCACTGAAGCAACCTCGTTAGAATCACCTTCATTTAGAGCAACCTTTGTTCAGCGGCCTCCTTCTCTGATACCTCCTTCATCAATATCTCCTTTATTAGCACCCCCTTCAACTGCTATAGTGAGCACGGAGATGACAATCCCGCCTTCCACATTTCTAGCTACGGCTCTTCATACTGCAGCAATGGGAATTCCGTTACACCTAAGAACAGTCTCCACTGAAAGGGCTTTTAACGAGGACGCTAATAAGGCATACCTGAATGGCTTTCTACCGAAGAAGCTACAGGAAGAGGGGGAGGGAAGAGACTGGGAGGGGTGCCGAAAGAGGGAATGGAAGTGGGAGTGGGAGAGGGGAGAGGGAGCGGGAGCACAAGAGGAGCAATGGATACAGAAGTAGCTCCTGCTTTAGCTACTGTGGATACTCTGACTCAAATCAGTCATGCTGATGCGGCCTTGCATACTGGGGAGAGACAGGGTGAGGATCTGGAGGGATTGGAGCTGACTCTGCTAATGAGACCTGCGTCACAGAGCTCTGCGAATGCAAATGCCGAGAATGTCAACATCTGCTAATGTCATCCCTGGGAATAAAACAAGAGGAAGCAGGGATAGGTTCGCTAAACACGAGGCAGAGGCAGAACTCGTAGTATGCTTCTGACTCTCCAGATTAGCCTTATGCAATGTCATGAAATTCAGCAATATATAAAAGGTCAGTAGGAGTGTGAAAGAAGGCTTTGCCAATTTAGAGTGTTCTTGTTT